GAAGCATAACTTCCTTTAAATGAAACCTTCACAATAAGAGCCCTGGACCAATGCACCATAAATAGGCTTAAGATTTGTATATCTAGATTTATTTCAGCCTTTTGATGATCAGGACCTGACTTCAGCCCCGACTACAGTACATAAACAGTGTTGTCAGCTTGTTCTCACTCTCCTCCACACCAAATACTTTAGTTAGTGGTTAATACTTTGGTTGATTTAACTAAAGTTGTGTGTAGAAAAATCCGGAGGCGAGTCTAACTGGCATGCCATTGGAAAGTCTGGGGGCTTATTTCAAGTCTGCTTGTCCAAAATCAAAAGGTTAAATGGCATTCCTGACATTGCTTAGCCATCAGAATGTGAAGATGTCTGTGGAGGATCGTGGGAGGATAGTTACATTTCTGACCAAGAAACTGCAGTCAGCAAACATCTGAAAGATTTCACCCAGACCAAAAATAGACAGCGTGCCAAAGCCACACCAGAAGCTGGGTTGGATCTTTGTTGGGTGTGTAGCATCTCTGCTTAAGCTTCATAAGATGATGGAGGCCAATCTCAGTGGCTTTGACAACAACATCAACTTGGTTTTTAAGGGCTTTCCAGAGACTGACACCAGGTTCTGTGCCAAGGTCTAGAAGGCTCGACAGGTAGTAATTTGACTGGTAAATGTGTCATTATAGCTGATGCTGAAGCCTCGGGTGGATGGAGGAGGAGGATGGATGGACGGTCGGAAATAAACAGAAATGGATGGATAGATTCATAACAGAAAGGTGTAGAGTTGACAGGTTAAAAATAGAGTAAAATGTTGACGGAACTTTCTCCCCGGTCTGCTTTTGTTAGCTTTACCAAAGTGTGGGCAGTCCACTTCCTGTGCTGTGATTGCCTTTGACAAACATCATGCTTCCCTGCTACATGGCTTCCATATTAAACGGGTCTATGCAAAACATAATCATGAACTTGATTGCTCAAAATCAGTCTCATATGAAAAGATGTGCTTCGGCTGCTGATGGTTATGTTCTTTTACGTGGCTGCTCTATGAACCAGATGGGGGGGGGTCATCAAAAAGGGAAAGACGGTGAGGATATGGAGGACCGTTCAAATGTTGAATAAATCGGCTGGGGCTGGCCGGCAGCAGCGATAAAAATGCTAAAAGTTGCCAAACAGATGTTGAAAGATTATTGTGGGAACAGGTTTCTCCTCAACTAGGGAAGCTCCGATCTGATCACATTATTGGAAATCGGGCCAATCACGGGAATTTTTAAGATTGGAATTGGGTGAAAAAAGATTGGATTTAACCTTATAAAACAACAAATATGACTTTCTAAATTCCTCCTGAGATAGAGATTTTCCAACAGAACAACAATAGCTTAGTTTTAATCTCAACAAGTTCCTCTCATCAGTGTTTTTTGTTTCTTGACAGAAAGCAACAAGCAGCTGTTAGCTAGTATGCTAATGCAGAGCTAACGTGTTTCCACAGCAGAGCTAAAACATATGTATTTTGTTGGTATGTGTGCATACTGGGTATTCAAAATGCTGGGAAAGACAGCTGCAAGAACTACTTTCTCCTCCAGCTTTTTTCCCTTCAGGAGTTGCCACAACGAATCATCGGTCTGCATTCGGTTCAAGTTCACAGCAGCACCTCTAATAAAACACGGAACCAGCCAACAGTGAAAGACATGCTAATAAACAGAGAAACTGCCGACGAACAGTAAAACCTTGTGGTTTCTCATTCTGCAGCACCGCGCCGGTAGCTACAGGTGTTGTGCAGGTAAAAGTTAGCCTACTGGCCGTGGTGCCATGCGCCTCGATCATCACGGGAACGTCTACCACTCAAAAGAGCTGAATAATGAGGACGTAAATGATTTGAAATATGAGCAACTCTACCACTTTTAAACATATTCATAATATTAATATTAATATGTTTTTATCAAACATTCTAAACAAGTTTTTTTTTGCAGATAAACTAAGGAAATGGCAGAAATAAAGGAATTTCTAAAAAAAAAAAACTTTTTAAGGACAACTTGGATGTGTTTTCCCTTTTTTCTGCTTTGCTGAAATATCGTATCAGGACTTGATATCGGCAGATACTCTAAATCAAATTACTCTCATTCGGATCAAGAGTAAAAATATATGATCAGAACATCGCTATCCTCAACCAAATCTACCATCACCATCTCTCTCTCTCTCTAATCCATTTATCGTTATCAAGGTGAACTGCTCAATATGTTGAAATATTGATTTGAGGCCATGTCGTCCAGCCCTACCTTTCAGGATGAGCCGTTTCAGGCCTCTGACAGTTTTGGGGGGGGGGGGGGGGGGGATGCTGTTGATGGCCACGCCCACCCAGCTCCTTATTGGCTGCTTTGAGGTGAGGAGCTTGGTTATCCATGAGGGTGAATAGAGCCGCTACTCCTTCAGCGTCTGTGTGTGTGTGTGTGTGTGTGTTCGTGTGTGTGTGTGTGTGTGTGTGTGTGTGTGTGTGTGTGTGTGTGTGTGTGTGTGTGTGTGTGTGTGTGTGTGTGTGTGTGTGTGTGTGTGAGAAGTGTCATAGAGGCAGTAGAGACCCACATGGAAGCCCAAAATTATTCTAAATGTTTGGCACAATAAGTCCCTTTAAAGGTTTATTAAATATTAAGGAGTTAAATTTAATTCTAACCTCAATCGCCCCCCTTATGACAATAAACTATTTTTTCCAAACAGTCATTATGGCTAAAAGCATGGAAATGCTGACCTCGGTTTAATAAATCAGACATAACTTGTGACAATGAGCCCACATTCATCTGCTTGTGTGCCCGTGTTACTAATAAGTTGGTCTCCCTTGGCGTCGCTGCTTCTAGGAAGTGTGTGATTAGGCTGGTGATGTTTGCAGGCCTCGTCGGTTTAAGTTATTGCTCTCATTCGGTCTTAATTATAGTTGTGTGAACAGCTACACATTTGGGCATGGATTCCCCCCTCGCAGTTTGCACACATCTAAACTTAAATGGGGATGTGTGTGCATGTGTGTGTGTGTGTGCAGGTTTTAGCCTCACATGTTTTTAGTGTAACAGTGTGGAAGGAGACGCTCTTCTATAGTTACGACTTTTCTACCAACATCTCTCCTTTGTGTGTATCCTCATCAGTTTATGTAAACAGGAGTGTTATGAGTGCTTCGCCCACATGCAGCCAAGAGGGCACACTTACAGCTCACAGAAAGCCCAAACAATGTTCAGTTTGGCTCTGATACATCACTGAATAAGTGAGAAAAAGGTCTGCCGTGGAGACGGGAGATGGGAGATCACAGGCCGGATAGGGGGGAGGGAAAGGAGGTCACTGAGGGATGAAGGAAGAGAGGGTGGAGGAGACAGCTGAGACCTCTACTATCAGTGTGTTTGCAGGAAACAGACACTGTTGAAGAGTTTAATTCCAGGTATGAAACACGTCTGTGTTTATATCACAAAAAACGCTTCATGTCTGAGTCACATGCACCGTTCTTGCTCATTTAGCATTTCCATCTAAGAGAACTCAAAGCTAATTCACAGAAGACGTTTGATCTCTCCGCTAGTTGCCGCATGCAGTGGCTTTCTTTTTTTCTTTAAGGGGTTGTAGATGTATGATAGAGGCTCAGCAGCTCCTGGGTGGTCTCAGGCCTCTGCCTCTCACACACCCTTGTGGAGTGTTTCTGTGTTCGACTTGCTCTTAAATAACTGCACTAACATCCTGCCTTGGCTGCTTTGTCCTGCCTCTTTCTGCCTCATGCTTGCAGAGGCAGAAGCTAACAATAGTTGATTTGTCAACGTGGAAAGAAAAAGAAGCACGAGCTTTGCTCAGCTTCAACTTAACCAGAGAACCAAGGAAAAGGAGGAGACGAACGATGAAGGCCTCTTGTGGCTGCTGTAGTCTTCGAGTGGCGTTTCCAGCTAAAATAGATGTGTTTACAACAGTTTCTAGTGCACTTTAAGTTAGTTCAGGGAAAGTAATCTCATTGCTTGTTGAGGTTACCACGGTAACCATGTTTGTGCAAGACGCTCTCACACACACACTTCACTGTCTGCCCCATTAGAGGTGAAGGATGAATAAGACATCATTGTAGAATATGATGTGGTGTGTGATATCCAACACTTTTTTTCCTTCCTTAAACACAAATAGCCCGAAAAATTCAAAAATGGCCGTTATAACTGGTAGTATGGTAACCATCCTGAATAATGGAAGGAGCCTTTTCATAATCTGTAGTCACTTTGTCAGCTACCACCACAATGAATACAAGGTCAATTGGTGAAAAATTGCTGAGTCATGAACAATTGTGTGTTTATTATGGTAGCCATATTGGATTTTAGAAAAAAGGTCTTTGCGCTGTCATCCTGGACAAAGTTTAGGAGTGTAAAAAGTAGCTTTTGCATAATCTGTCCCCTGTAAGAAGGCAATTGTTTAAAGTTGGCAGGTAATGGGATAAAAGGGGATCTCCAACCTCATCACCTCATTGCAGCCTATAAGTTGGTGGGTGTGCTTGGCCACTAGCAGCTTTTTTGATTTAAAGTGACAGAACCCTGAAGAGATTCTGTGCAAACTTCATGAACATGCCTTGTATAATACTTACCACAAACTTGTTGCTTTTCAGTAGCAGTTTTTGCAGCTAAATATGGTGTTTACATTAATTGTATAAATCCGAAAAGGTCGCGCATCGTCATTTGACCAGTCACAGTCAGAGAAACAGCATACCATAAACTGATAACACACTGCAGCAGTTGGAGGTTAAAGTTCAACAAATAAAACAGAAACTAGCTATTTTAAATTACACCTTTTTCACACCCTCTGAGTTTGCAGCTACGATGATATGTCCCCTATCAGAAGGCAGTTGTTTGAAGTTGAGCAATTAGCTGCAACATGGCATGCAGAGTATTGGATAGTATAAATGTAGGTTGCAATTCTAGAAATATAATTTTTATGACATTTTTATGTTATTTTAGCTGCCGACAGGATGTAGCACCAATAACTTAACATATCTGTGTTTTGTGATATCAACTCAACAGAGTGCACTCATGGAGGATTTGGACTTTGAGCGGCGCCGGGAGCTGAGGAAGCAAAAGCGGGAGGAGATGCGTCTGGAGGCTTCACGGTGAGAAGGTTTACTTTAATTCATATTTGCTGATTCCTCCCAGAGCCACCTCTAGTTAACTGTTCTGCAGTAACTAAAGCTCCCTCCGTAGAGGAGACTGCTGCATTTAGGACTGTGTTGTTTTTGAGATCGTGCAGCAGCCCACATTAAGGATTCCTTCATTTGCCAAGTAACAGGAGGACTGAGCCAAAAATTACTCGGCGAGTATCGGCTTCCTCAGACCAAGCAAGATGGAAAATAAAAAGGTGGTTGATAAGAAATCTGAAAAGCTATGCGATGACCTCAAATGTTCAATCATGCCCTGCCTCCCTGTTTCCAATTTTCTCTCCCAGATCCTCTGGCCTTTTGAACCCTCTGATTCAGTGGAAGAAACTGATTAAACCAGAGTTCGTTTCTGCAATTTGATTTAGCCGTAACCCCGCCAAGTGGACTATTCAAAAAATTGTTAAAAGGGTTTTGGTTTTATTTTTTTATTTTTTATTTTTTTTGAGAATGTTATCGTGAGTGTGACAAGAAAGTGTTTCTACTGAGTCTCTCCATCCATACTGCAGTCTTTGGATTTAAGGACGAGTCCGATGTGGATGCAGATAGTCAGCCAAGGTCACTTTCTGCTTTGCAGCTTGTTGTTAGTCTCTTACTTTGCAGAGACCAAACTGACAGGTTTGAACTCTGCTGAATGCATAGATGGTCTTCTCTGATAATTCTTTTTGACACAAGCGTTACGTGAGGGGGGTTTCTAATGGGCAAAGCCCCGTTCTGAAGGAAAAGCAGCTTTTCCTGTGCTGACAACATTTAATATAGTTCAGGTAATTCTACTAAATGGAATTCTGACATTAAACCAGACACTAAAAATAAATGTGTGCTTGATGTAGGGCCTGCCAATAAATCTGAAATGTATCACTATCCATAGTCAGTAAATTTGTGTCCCTTTAAGAAACTGTACCACCTCGAGTCACATGATGACGTGACTCAACGTGATACACATGACAGCCCCATCTAGTGGACAACGTTTATTATTGCTCATCCATGTAGTTGTCGTCCATTTGTCGTTATCGAGGTGAACTCCTCAATATACAGTGATATTGATTTTAGGCTAAATCGCACAGCCCTAGCTTGATGTAAAGGTTGTGGAAGTGAAACCTAATGCAATTAGTTATTGTATTTGTTAAACAAAGGACTCTGGGTGTTTCCTATTTGTTTTATGTATTTTTAGCTAGGGTTAGCTCATACACTTTTGTTGTATTTCTTTTCTGCTTGTACTCATGTTTTTGTTTTGTTCATTTTTTTCTGTAGCATAGCTCATTAATCTTTTTTTCTTTCTTTTTAGCTATGCTCATTCTTCTTTGTTTTTGTTTTTTCGCTAGCGTCGCTCATACCCAATGAAGAACAGGGACCAAATGATTAAATGACTTTTCCAAGGTTGTGTCTGAACTGCGGATGAATCTACTTGATTTGTCTAGTTAAAGAGCAAGTCACACCATAATCAATTATTTTTTGCTGATAAACTGTATAAACGAGTGTCTAATCGTGCTTCAGACACGTGATGACAAAATTTTTGCACTTTAGTGCATTTGAGTAAAAATTAAAATGTCCTGCCTAAACCTGTCAGTGTTGTGGTGTCTTCAGGTAAAAACTCAGCACTGCATTTGAATTCAAATCTGCCATCGCTATTGGCTAAGCGGTACCCAATGACGTTAGCTGGTACCATATGATGTCACAATGTCATTGTGAGCCTGTATGTGTGTATTTTTTTAGTGGGTTCGCTTCGCCCTCTCGGTCTGCTAGGCAACGGCATTTGTTGCATTTTTCAAACAGGAAGTGGGAATGGAGTAAGACTTTGGTGGGGGTGACTTGCTCTTTAAAGAGACCGAGACAGAATGAGGAAATGTTTGTTTTTGAAAGGATTTATTAGGTTAACCGTTAACTAGCAGTTTGTTTTACTGTGAAAGTGTAGTGCAGAGAGACGAACAGCCTTTAGCAGCAGCTGGTAGGGTAGCTTAGTTTTTTCCACGTCTTTAATTCTTCATAGTTAAGTCCACAGCTTTAACCCTTCACAACACCCTGTTCCTAGAATGATTTATACATGATTTTAGTGTTTATGTAAGATGGAGAAAATGGAATTTGGCAGAAATTGTAGACAACTGAAAAGGAGACAGAGGAGATTGAGTGAAGAAAACATCTAGGAGTCGAAGATGAAGGTTTAGGCTTGGCAAAAGTGCATAAATGACTGTTTATTTGATCTGAGCTGCTATAATTTCAGCTGGCAAGCAACACGCAGCTAATGTTATTTATAAAAGATCACATCTCTACATCATTTCTGAATAATACATGAAAGCAATCAATATTTACATGCCTCTCTGGGTTGGACTAGTCACAAGCTCATGTTGAGCCCAGAGTGGGTAGGATGTGAAGCCGTATAATAACCGCCATTACAAGTGTTTACTGGACAGGTCTCCACGAGTGGTTTCCTACATGCTGAGTCGCTTTTGGTGTGTGTGTGTGTGTGTGTGTGTGTGTGTGTGTGTGTGTGTGTGTGTGTGTGTGTGTGTGTGTGTGTGTGTGTGTGTGTGTGTGTGTGTGTGTGTGTGTGTGTGTGTGTGTGTGTGTGTGTGTGTGTGTGTGTGTGTACTTTATGTGGTGTGTTTAATAATGTAGAAACGGTGTGGTTTGTACCTCCAGAACAGATAAAGGCTTGATTAAATGTGTTACACATCAGCATAAAATGATACAAGTGTTGTTGAGTTTTGACCTATGACGGTGTGTCTGTGTGCATTTCAGCCTCTATTATATTTCCAAGAGAATCATTGCTGGCATCAGTGAGGGCAGAGGGCTTCCATTTGCTTTTAGCTGTGTTCAATAAAGCCACATAATCTTCCTCTCGGTGGTTTCTCACACTCTCCTGGCTACTCAATTCCCAAATCAATGCTACTCATCAGTGCCGAAGCATGTGCTTTCTCTCTGGAGCACGGTCGGACAGGAATGTTTCCAAAGAGACTACAAAGACCTGGAGTCAGTTCAGCAGCTAGCTTCAGCTAAAGCTAGCTTAGTCAAACATCAATGTTTTTGTTCCTATATAGTCCATAAGTCAGGTTATTGGGATGATATATAAGTACAGGAAATTCATTTTTACATTTTATCATCATGCCTTTAAAGGTCTTGCATATTTTTTGACAAACCAGGCTAGCAAAATTTCTTTAAGCTAAGATATATGCAGGTTAATTTTCATATTTTACAGTTGTGTAGCTGATGTATAGGTAGCTTTATGATAAATTTTTCTTTTATTCCTTTTGATGGAAACCTCTACCAGGTGTCTTTCAAAAACATCTCTATTCTAGCACTTTTAACATTAATTTTGGAATTTGAATTTTTTATTTTATTAGTATACTGTAAATCCTCTAATACAGGCCCGGGCCTGTATTTGACTCAAGCTCATCAAGCTCCGGGCCTTTATTGGAAGGAGGGTCAGTATTAGAGGCAGGCCTCTATTTCTATTTGAGCAAAATGAACTAATGGTTCGCTGGAGTTTTTGACAATTAAAATTACGCCCACATTTTCAAAGTTAAACACATTTCTTTTAACAACGGTAGTTTCTGCTTCAGCCCTCTCCCCCCTCCCCCTGCGCAGCAGCAGCAAACTCACTGATGCGCCTGCAGCCTCTCGGAGTTCCTGTTGCTCTAAACATTAAAATAATTATTTCATTTTCTGTTCCTCACTTCTGACTACCTTCAATGGTGTCTGTCTGTTGCAACCACCAGGTACAAAAACTAGCTTGTTTTTATTTGACTATTTTTCTGTCCTGTCTGCTACCTGGGTTCATACAGGTGCTGGCCAGTAAATTAGAATATCATCAAAAGGTTGAAAATATTTCAGTAATTCCATTCAAAACGTGAAACTTGTACATTATATTCATGCAATGCACACAGACCAATGTATTTCCGATGTTTATTACGTTTAATTTTGATATTTATAGGTGACAACCAATGAAAACATCAAATCTGGTATCTCAGAAAATTAGAATATTCTAAAGGCCAATGAAAAAATGTTTGTTTCTCTAATGTTGGCCAACTGAAAAGAATGAACATGAAAAGAATGTGCATGTATAGCACTCAATACTTAGTCGGGGCTCCTTTTGCCTCAATAACTGCAGTAATGCGGCGTGGCATGGACTCGATCAGTCTGTGGCACTGCTCAGGTGTTATGAGAGCCCAGGTTGCTCTGATAGTCGTCTTCAGCTCCTCTGCATTGTTGGGTCTAGCGTATTGCATCCTCCGCTTCACAATACCACATAGATTTTCTATGGGGTTAAGGTCAGGCGAGTTTGCTGGCCAATCAAGGACAGGGATACCATGGTCCTTGAACCAGGTGCTGGTGGTTTTGGCACTGTGTGCAGGTGCCAAGTCCTGTTGAAAAGTGAAGTCTGCATCCCCATAAAGTTGGTCAGCAGCAGGAAGTGCTCTAAAACTTCCTGGTAGACGGCTGCATTGACCCTGGACCTCAGGAAACAGAGTGGGCCAACACCGGCAGATGACATGGCACCCCACACCATCACTGACGGTGGAAACTTTACACTGGACCTCATGCAACGTGGATTCTGTGCTTCTCCGCTCTTCCTCCAGACTCTGGGTCCTTTATTTCCAAAGGAAATGCAGAACTTGCTTTCATCAGAAAACATAACTTTGGACCACTCAGCATCAGTCCAGTCCTTTTTGTCCTTGGCCCAGGCGAGACGCTTCTTGCGCTGTTTCTTGTTCAGGAGTGGCTTGACACACGGAATGCGACACCTGAATCCCATGTCTTTCATGAGTCTCCTCGTGGTGGTTCTTGAAGCGCTGACTCCAGCTGCAGTCCACTCTTTGTGGATCTCCCCCACATTTTTGAATGGGTTTGTCGTCACAATTCTCTGCAGGGTGCGGTTATCCCTAGAGCTTGTACACTTTTTTCTACCACATTTTTTCCGTCCCTTCGCCTGTCTGTTAATGTGCTTGGACACAGAGCTCTGC